TGCAAGCAAACTCCATCTATATTCGAGTATTTCTACAACCATAGTAATTGTTATATAACACCTACTGCTGAGAATAATGAGAATTGCTGAGAATCAAGCATACTATTTTCAATTTGATCAGTTTTCTGGAACGTTTACAATCATTCTATAATCAAACCAATATGAAATAATAAATTCGAATTTAAAACGGTTCAAACATTTAGTTAAAACATTGAAATATATAAAAATATTTATAACAATGTCCGAAATGTTATCAATTTAATACACCTAAGTACTCGATGAAGACTAAACGTAGTTGAAAACAAAAAATTGCATCTAAAATAATACAGTAGAAGCCGTTCTTCAGATTAAGCCTTAATGCTCTCTCTCCCCCCATGGAGGAATTTCGAAAAATCCCTTCTTAGTGTTCATTTTCATGATGTACCATAACTGTGTACCAAATTTCACCTCTTTAGGTCCAGCAGTTTGCTCTGGGCAATGATCAATCAATCACTCAGTCAGTCAGGACAAGTAATTTTATATATTTAGATACGAAATATGGAAAAAATGCAAATGAATAATGTAACATTGCACTATAGCATTAGCAATGTTATATTTTAGTTGTCAGTCAGATTAGATTTTTTTACTTTATGGAATTTGTTTTGTACTAATGATACTAACCTTTCTAATACAACACTTATCATTTTTCAAGGATATAGTATTATAATTTAAGCTTTTCATTTTAAATGTTTAAGAAATTAGATACTATGCATAAGCCACACTATTGGCATTCAAAAGTCATTTAACAACTCACAAATCATACTTTACCCACTAATGGTATATAACAGTAATGCCAATTAAGGGAAAAAGAATTCTTCAACTAACAATCTCTCTTAATAAGTGATAGGTACCATTAATTATTATTATTGTGAAACAATGAGGGGTGCTTTTTGTAATAATTAATATAAACACTAAAACAGTGCGGTTGAGATTATGGAATGATCTCAATTTATTTGTTAACCACTTACTATTGAGACCTTGCAATTATTGCTTTTAAAAAGAAGTTTTATTCAATAACATACTTCTTTTTACATTATGCATTTTGGCTCTCTTCAGTTGTACCATAAATTAAAATGCATAAAAGTTACAATTATATTTATAAATTATTCTAAGGGATATTTCTTACAAAATTTTATGATATTACTTACAATTACACGGTGTACATAAGAAAAAATTATGACAACAAATATTTTTTTATTTTTCATTAACAATGTTTACAGTTCTATTATGTTCACTTCTATTAGGCTACATCAAAATAAACAATTATTTTAGTTTTTTACATATAAATATTTATCTTTTTGGAGCTAGAATCACAGATTGTAATAATACTGCTTTCATTTCAAACAATACTGTCAAAAAACTATCTCCTTTTCAAATTACTGGAGTTAATCCAACCAAAAACAAAACCTTTAAATATCAGTAACATAACTTTAACAAAAACTTTGAACATTTTCGGCCTTCTCCAAGGCCCGCCTCAGTTATTTTAACGAATCAAATTCCAAACTGGAATGCTAGTACGTGTTGCAGCCTGACCAGCAAGTGTATTAACTTTAAAATACTGCAACATGGTGTCACATGTGTGGAAGTACCTTTATGAAAAATTCAGGCAAAGTTAACTTATATTAATTCATCTCAGACACTATGTAAATCTTAAAAATGTATGTATGTGACATGGTCATACATTTACGATTGCTAGTCTATCTATCATATGAATTTGGTACATGTTATGGAGTTGTTCAAAATTTTAAAATTGATTTTTCGAATATTATCGTACTTTCATTCCAGAATGGAATTTGATTAGTTAAAATACCTGAGGCAGGCCTTGGAGAAGGCCGAAAACGTTCAAAGTTTTCGTTAAAGTTATGTTACTGATATTTAAAGGTTTTGTTTTTGGTTGTATGGCAATAGTATCTTTCCAATTAGGCCAGATTTGCATGCATATGCATTTTTATTCCTTAAATGTTGTGATGCTGAAACCTCGATATAAACATGAATTTGGGCCAAGTAAATCAAATTTTGTCCAATAATGCATATAAGTGTTTGTCATCTTTAGTGCATAGTTTGCACATTTAACTATTTTCATGACTAAATAAGTGCTTTATAAACTTTATAGCTCATCTGCATTTTTTGCCAGTTCTATTTCTTTTTTTTAATGATCTATAGTCTGTTTCTGCTAACTGTGCAGTGAACCTTTTGTGAATGTACAGTACACACACAATCAAAAACCTTTAAACTCCAGTAGCACAATATTTTTATGAAAACAAATGTTTTCGACCTTACCCAATTTCAGCTTCAGGATTTTAACCAACAAAATTCCAAAATAGAATGTGTAGAACAAACATATTTGAAAAAGTTGTTTTTAAAATTTGGAACAACACCAAACATATATAAAAAATTTGAACGGTAGATACTACAAAAAAATAAAAATTATTGTATATGGATAGTTATATTCTTTTATTAAGATGTAAATAATGGCTCAGATAAATTAATATATGCTAGTGTTGCTCAGTTTTCATAAATGTACCTCCATGCATAGGATACAGTGTTACTGTCTAAAGTTAATACATTTGCCAATCAGGATGGCCTTGTAAATTTCCAAGGCTTCCAGGTTCTGAATATGATTAATTTGAAAGGATCAGAAATGTTCGTTTTCATAAAAATTTTGTGTTACTGGAGTTTAAAGGTTCATCGTGTGTGATTTGTTCCAGTTATTCGGTAAGAAGATAGTTATATCAAGTTCAGTTCAACCAACAATATGGATAAAACAGCAAAACCTAATGCTGAAATTACAGTTTAGATCCTAAAGATTGAAAATTCTTTATTGTAATGTATGTAACAAATAATTTCCTGCTAAAAAGACATGAAGTCTCAAAACTGGCCAAAAACAGTAATTGATCACTAGTAAATCCTAGTTGCACTGAAGCTAACTTTAGTAGGACTTATATCATCAGTTGAAAATAAAACATTACTACCAACTTCAATACTAAATCTGTAATTAATGTAGTTAATAACTTAATAAGAACACTTACTCATCACTCATCATCTGTACAGGGCTATAAACAAAATCCAGTAGAGTTGCTTAACTTTTCCTACAACATTTGGTAGCACCATCTGTTGTGATATTTTATTTAAAAACTTATATTTTTAATTGTTATAACATGGCAAAATCTCAATTTTGAGGGTAGGGACAGGTTTTAAAAAAATCATAAATGCTAATAAGTAAAATCATCATTAAGTCTGACCCCTATTGGATATACACAACCCCTCAACCTTTACTCACCAAAATTTACTAGCATTGATTCCCATAATACACAAACATCCCTGCAAAATTTCAGAAATTTTCAACAAAAAGCATAGAAGTTATTAAGCTTCAAAGACAGTGAACAAAATCGTGCACCCTCAACACATTAATATCCACTAGGGTTTCTCAAATGGGATTCCGGTTGTTTTTCTAACCCGGGAAATATCCCGGGAAATTTTTCTTATCCCGGGAAATCCCGCAAATTTCTTAAAAATTCACTTTTTTCTTATTTTGTGTTAAGGTTGAGGAATTTTGCAAATAGAAAGCATAATTAACTCATTCACTGTCAGAATACATTTGTATTTATTAATTTTAAACCTACCTATTAGTTTTTTTNTGGCGGAGGAGAGGGAGAAGGGAAATGATACTAAAACTTAACTTACATGACATAATGTAACAATAACTTAAAAAATAACCTAATGATAATTTTTTTATCTTTTCTGTTTTATATATTTTTTCTAATTTTTATTCACTGCTTTTTGCTTTCTTTCCTTCACTTCCACTGGATAGAGGTCGCTTGGTAAAATATCTACCCAAAGCGGTTTGGCTTTGCCTATTTTTTAAAATGTTTCTAAAATGACTTAGGCAAATGTCATTACTCCGAGCAGTAATACGGCCAATGTGAACCTTTTCGGGGTGTTTCTTTTCAATAAAATCAGTCACTTTCTGATAATACCTCGAGATTTCCTTTATTGAGCGAGACCCTTCCACAACGAACACACAGACTGAGACCGATGAACAGAAGTGAATAAAAAATAGTGCTACGAACTAACGTAACGTCGTATGGTGAGTTTTTGTTCATACCATGGAGCAAAAATATGTTTGAATTTCATGACGTATCCTGAAAATTTCGTACGCTGAAGAGTTCGTATCCTGAGGTACTACTGTATATTTTTTAAACTTTTTGCCTTGTGGGCACTAAGAGGACCTTTCAGCAAGTCCATTCCAATGAGGCAACCAGTAGTGGGGACAGAGCTTGACATCTGGACAAAAAATTCTCGGAGTGTTTTGACCTGTCCAATTTCAATCCTGGTTCCCTAGAGCAGTAGGCTGCTATCTTAATTAACCACTTAGCCACCTGACTGATAATATAGTACTATTTAAGTTGTTTTCTTCTTGTATTATTTGTTTGATAACTTCATTAATTAGTAAATATTTTCTCAAAATTTCATATACTGTATTTTAAGTTTATATATGTATATATATGTAGTTTATATGGAAGATTTAATAATTATTTATAGGATCCTGTGTTTTAATACATGGAAAAGTTATTCATAAAAGTGAAAAAAATTTGTCATCAAAACCTCGACCAGCCTATACTTTCCATATAATTGAAAATCATAACACAATTTATAGCAAAGATAATTGGTATGTACTATCATCTTAAATTTAATTATTTCTAAAACATGATAGATAAATTTTTCATATTTATTACATTATATTGCAAATTATTAGAATGTTTCAGACAATCAAATATTTCCAAGACAAGCTCATGCACGCAGGGTTTAATCCCTCCCATTTGGAAATACTAAATAAATATAAATTTTTAAATTTATCTATTCAGTTCCTGCTTAGTCTACTGTATTGTTACTCTATATACCTATATTATAAAATTTAAAAAAACTACATTATAATTTTTAAGGTTCTCTTAGTAGTACAAAGCATGTATATATTTAAGGTATATTTTCTTAATTTTACTAACTTTGGAAAATTTAATTTATAATACAATACAATAATACTTTATATTTGAAGAATCCTAAAGTAGGAGGCAAAGGTAAACAGAATTGTAATTTATTCAATTTTAATACTATATGCTACTATATTATATATCTTTGAATTTCTTTTAGTTGTTTGTCATCAGGATGCTACCTATTTATATACTGACCCAGTTAAATTATTAGGTCTTTGGTTTCCATTAGAAGATACTACTTTAGAAAATGGATGCCTTTGGTTCCTACCTGGATCTCATAAAGGTTTGCTATACTTATAAATTAATAGGATTTCAGTGTAACTGGAATAAAATTATAACTATTTTAGATTCAAGCATTAGTCTTACTGTTGAGATATTAAAAAAGGTAATTCTTTAATAGGTGAAGTGTATCAAATATATATGTTGGTTATCCTGTCGTATTGGCAGGTTATTGGTATTGTATTTGTTACGTTGTTACCGTGTGTTTGTAAGCCGATGAGAGTCCTTGTACCCGAAATGCATACTTAACTAAATTTGTTATGTGATTATTAAAGACCAACCTTTTTTTTATAAAAGTTCTGGTCCTTCTTTCGGTCGGCCTTGGTGTGATAAGCCACGCAAACTGTTATACCCTATTTAGGTTATCTAATTCTAATTTATAGTCATGGGCAAAAAGCGTTGTTTATTATTAAATTATTTTTTCGTTATAAAATGTATCGTAATAATTGGGGACGAAGATACGAGCGTCTCGCTTTCCTTCCCCACGTCGGCAAATTCTGCCGAATAATTGGCTAAATCACTCCACCAAAAGAAACGTACCGTATTCTCGTGCAAATAAGAGCGTGCTCTTATATGTGAAAAACGTTTGTTTTCACGTTTTTGAAACTTTGAAGTTTCAAAACTATAAGCAGCCCAAGATTGTGACAATGTCACAATAAATAATTGCTCGTTAATTTTTTTTTTTTTTCAGTTTAATGAAAATGGTTATTTAGTTATTCCCGAATTTTTAAATTCTGAGGAAGTTCAGTTATTGAAATCAGAATGTTCAAAACTTATAAATGAAATGAATCCATCAGAACACAAATCTGTATTTATCACTGGAAAAAATCAGGTTTGGAAAAATAGTTTTATTCAAAGTCTATATAATTTTGAAAAATTGTATAAAATACTAATTTATNAATAACTAAAAAAATTACGTTAAAATAATACTTTAGTGAGCGGAAAGTAATTTCTCTTTCGCGAATTTTTTTCGGGATGTGGTAGGTTGCCACCTTACGAAATAAAATTATTGTATCTGCCTCTCGAAATTATCGTACGTCCATCTCGATCCGTTACACTTACGTCTTTATCCGTAGAAATATTAACCGGGTTCAATCTCAAAACTTTTTATCCGCGACCGCTTCTTACAACAAAAATCTTTAGACCCCATTTTACAATGACGTTTTTACTACTCCCCTTACAATATATGGTGCAAAACAAAGCTCCGAATGGGCGTAATCTAAAATCTACGTTTCATCATTATCAAACATTAATACGTAGCACATTCCGCGCATTCTTTTATTTAGCAGTGCGCCGACGGTCGAAAACACTTTTGCTGGAGAAAGAGCTATCTCAAAATGGCCGATATAATCCCAGACCATTAATACGAAAACGTACAGTACCTACAGTTTTTAATTTAAAAATAAATAAATTTGAGAAAAACTTAAAACAGTCTCGTCTTCGTCCTGTGATAATTATGAAATAATTCGTCCAATCCGAAATACAGTATTATTATATAATCGGCCTATTAATAATGTATAATTGGTGTTTGGCACTAAAGGCATCGGCCTATTACGCCGGGTTTATTTGCCTAGTATTAAATACAAATTTCAGTTAAATTTAATTAATTAAGTTATAAAATACGTAATAATAACTTTTCGTTGACTAGATTCAAAACAATGAATAATACGTGCTGTTTTATAATTATTGTTTAACAATGAAATCGTTTTATCTTATTTGAGAAACCTCGGAAGACTGAAGTCGTAAAGGTAATTTGAAATTATATTTCGAATATTTTTATCAAATTAATATATTAATTAGCTTTGTCGAATTCGAAGAAGGACGATGGGATTTCGGTTATCCAAGATGAATCGTACACGGCAATCGAACTAAGAAGATTCTGACCGTGGTGAGAGAAGACAACGCTTTCCTTGTATATTAACTCACAGTCCGGTATTCGTCTCTGCACGCTGACATAATTCGTAGTTCTAAGCTATCGAGGGAACTTTCGCTTCGTCGATGGAAGCTACGGGCACCCGGGCTCTTACAAATTATATACAAGGAATTGAACAAATGTGTTGCATGGGAAGAGCATTTCTCGCCATCATTCACTAATTTTAGTTTTCAGATTTATTACGGGTCGCTCGTCTAAAAGTAGGATCGAGTTGTGTATAGTTGCGGATGAATTGTTTACTTCGTTCAACTTAGCAATTCAATCGCGGCGTCGTTTTTTGCCGATGACAAATACTATGGATTGTTATAATACGAAAATTATTTGAAATTTCCACGAAAATAGGCGGCAGAACTCGTCGAGAACTCGATGACCGCGGGTTGCTTCTGCTCGGAATCCATCATTTATCTGCAATGAAGAAGAAGGCTTACTATCGAGGAAGAGTTTCTCTACAAAACGTGTAATTTAAACGGTCCCGTCAGTTAACAAAAAAGTTATGCCCACTTTTGCATTACTTTCGATACAGCCCTCATACTAATTTTATACGTTCCACAAATAAATTTTTCAGCCATGTGTTCGTTGTTATATACTGTAGTGTAGTTATGATAGATATCGCGAAGTCGTCCATTGCTTTCGATTACAAAAAATCGAAAAAACACCTATAGACACTAAATTAGGAACACGGGAAGTGGAACCTTCGATTTCGACGTAACTATGATTTATTTCGAAATTGCTCTGTTACGTCCTAAACGATTTGACTTTTGTGCAAAATGAGTGTGCCGGAGAGAAGCAAAACACGATTTCCACTACGAATGCAATTAAAGTATTATTATTATATCAAAAAATACTTTTTAAAATTTATAACACCTAGGTGTCTTTACAGAAAAAGCAGAAAAGTATCTCGCAACATCATTACCACAGAATAAATAAATATAACTGTCTCGCAGCATAATTTTATTTTATAAGAATGGGTTAGTAGACTGATAAATGAGTAAGGTTGCGGTAATAGATCTTCGGTACCTTTGACTCTAGATCTCACCTTATCATAAATTAGATAGTACTATCGATGAAAATGAGAAGATTGCAATTTGAGTTTTGTATTTTATAATAGTAATAAATATTATAAACGAACGAGTTAGGGTGAGTGAAACTCTACACGTGTCATTCGTATGCAGAGTTATACTCATTCCAACTCTCGGCGGAATTCTCACACTGGGTTGTCATTCGTCGACGAAAGGCGAGCGAAGAGTTATGTATTTAACGACGCACAGAAAAGAAATATCGTACAATCCTTTACATTTTATTTTTTCCCGATTTAACGGACATGTTGGAAGAAAGGATTGGTCCTCTATTGCCGAAAGTTCGTTGAAAAGGAATGTACTGTATTATAAATCGAAGGCCTGCTGTAATTCTATATTGTTATAGTAAATAAAGTGGACAGTATTTCTCGTTTACTTCAGAATCGATTGATTTAATCAGAGGTTAATGATCCATTTTTATCCATTCAATCGATCAATTAGCCGATGTACTTTCTTGGAGTTCAAGGTCTCGTTCGGGTCAAAGATTAAAATGCTGACGAAATGTCAGGCAAGATGGCGACTTCCGAACAAATCGAAAAGGTTGGTGAAGCATTCCGTTATTTCTCTAATTTTGTGTGCCGAACACGAGTATATTTTTTATTTCGTAAAATAAAAATATTCTTATGTTCAGTGCGTCTGTCTGACTTTTCTCATTTCATAACTAAAATTAAGTTTTGTTACGACACTTAATAGGACTACCTGCAGTAATTTTAAATAAATTGGAGAAGACACGTTATATTTATGTTTACGTAAAAGAACACGGTTTACAACTTGACGACAGATATAAATAAATTTTAACATATTAAAAGTAAAATGCTTTTATTGGTCGTTTTCCGAGATTGGGGTGTTTCGTCCCACCATATAAATTACTACAGCGCATTTTTACTCCAACACATGATTAAATTCTACATTTGGTTATGTTTATCTGGTTTCCAAGTGAGGGATTGTGAGAGTGAGATGGAGCCACCCCCTAAAATATCATCAAAATGCATTGTCTTGGGTTTCGTCCTTCTGCCTTAATTACAAGTGGATGAAGTTTGAGTTGCTAGATTTGACGACGTGATACGTAACGAGTTAAATAAAAATTGCAATTTAATTATACTATTACTGACTTTATGAAATTGAGTGAGATGAATCTAATTTATAATCTATTCAAACAAAATATTTTTACATTTCTGTGTACATACTGTCTACTTAGACCTTGTTTATTAATGGACTTATTATACTGGTGTAATTTCTGATTAGCAAATAGAGATTAATTAAGATATGACTAAGATGTCCTCTATTTGCTAATCAGTAATTACACCGATACAATAAGTCCTATTAATAAACGAGATCCAAGTAAATAGTGTATACACAGAAATGTAAAACAGCGAGGACACAGAGGTAAAAAGAATTAAAATATTTTATGTACTGTGGTAGAAGATTCATCCTATACTGTTCGCCAACTAAACCACACTTCTATGGGTAAGATAGTAATTTAGCAGAAAATTATATTTAGTTCTTTCGAATCTGTTTTTCGGAAAACGCTATTCGCTCGATCGTTATTGTGACGTTTGGATTTGTTACGTCTTATTAAAACCGGTTGGTCTCCAGATTTTAACACAAACAAAATACATCTGATCTATAGACCGATTGGTTTTAATAAGATGTAACCGTCTACCAGAATTTGGAAAATGTAGGAGAAACTAAGACATTTACTGGTCCCAGATAATATGTTATACCACATTGTCATTGTTTTCTAATTTATACTTCATATTTTAGTTTTAGTGTATGGGTTACATTGAGAAATTGTAAATGCAGTGCACTGCATATGTTGGTTATCCTGTCGTATTGGCAGGTTATTGGTATTGTATTTGTTACGTTGTTACCGTGTGTTTGTAAGCCGATGAGAGTCCTTGTACCCGAAATGCATACTTAACTAAATTTGTTATGTGATTATTAAAGACCAACCTTTTTTTTATAAAAGTTCTGGTCCTTCTTTCGGTCGGCCTTGGTGTGATAAGCCACGCAAACTGTTATACCCTATTTAGGTTATCTAATTCTAATTTATAGTCATGGGCAAAAAGCGTTGTTTATTATTAAATTATTTTTTCGTTATAAAATGTATCGTAATAATTGGGGACGAAGATACGAGCGTCTCGCTTTCCTTCCCCACGTCGGCAAATTCTGCCGAATAATTGGCTAAATCACTCCACCAAAAGAAACGTACCGTATTCTCGTGCAAATAAGAGCGTGCTCTTATATGTGAAAAACGTTTGTTTTCACGTTTTTGAAACTTTGAAGTTTCAAAACTATAAGCAGCCCAAGATTGTGACAATGTCACAATAAATAATTGCTCGTTAATTTTTTTTTTTTTTCAGTTTAATGAAAATGGTTATTTAGTTATTCCCGAATTTTTAAATTCTGAGGAAGTTCAGTTATTGAAATCAGAATGTTCAAAACTTATAAATGAAATGAATCCATCAGAACACAAATCTGTATTTATCACTGGAAAAAATCAGGTTTGGAAAAATAGTTTTATTCAAAGTCTATATAATTTTGAAAAATTGTATAAAATACTAATTTATATTATAGAAAGGGGAAGAATATTTTTTAACATCTGGTGATAAAATTAGATATTTCTTTGAAGAAGATGCTATAAATGAAAAAGGTGATTAAATTTTCTCTGTTTTAATGACAAATAAATAAAACTAAATAAATAAATTTTTCAGGAGAATTTATTGTATCCAAAGAAGATTCTCTAAATAAAATTGGGCATGGTATGAAATTTAAGATATTTTATGTAAGTAATAAAAATATTTCGAGTGATTAACTATAAAATATATTTATATTTTCAGCATTACATTGGTGGAATGATGTTTTCAAAAAAATTACTTTCAGCCAAAAAATAAAAGTAAATATTTCAAAATATATTTAATGTAAATAATAAAAATGTTTATTTTATACTAAAGAAAGACTTCCAAAGTTAAAACAAATAATACACACGTGTCCAAAACTTAGGGACGAACACAATTGCCAGCGATGGCTAGAAAAGTCACCGAGCCAATTGGTGACAAGCCTGCCACGACCACTGCCATTTCTCACCAGACTTACTTTTATTGCTTTGATTTGCAAAATCCTACAAGCTGCTGTGTATTACCGTGTTGAATGTCGAGTAATACAGTTCTTGACACCTCTGCATTCATCTACAGTTTTATTTATTCGTGTACAAATGCCATTCATTTTTAAGTTTAGATATATCATGTGTGTAAAATAGTTCCTATGTAAACCTTTTAAATAAAATTAAGGATTGAAGAGAATCTTATCTAAGCTATGATGATATTTATAATCAAGATATTAATTTAACAATTATTATTACTTTTTTTAGAACTTAATTAAGAATTTTGGATTTATCGATCCTTTAGTAGTACAAAGCATGTATATATTTAAGGTATATTTTCTTAATTTTACTAACTTTGGAAAATTTAATTTATAATACAATACAATAATACTTTATATTTGAAGAATCCTAAAGTAGGAGGCAAAGGTAAACAGAATTGTAATTTATTCAATTTTAATACTATATGCTACTATATTATATATCTTTGAATTTCTTTTAGTTGTTTGTCATCAGGATGCTACCTATTTATATACTGACCCAGTTAAATTATTAGGTCTTTGGTTTCCATTAGAAGATACTACTTTAGAAAATGGATGCCTTTGGTTCCTACCTGGATCTCATAAAGGTTTGCTATACTTATAAATTAATAGGATTTCAGTGTAACTGGAATAAAATTATAACTATTTTAGATTCAAGCATTAGTCTTACTGTTGAGATATTAAAAAAGGTAATTCTTTAATAGGTGAAGTGTATCAAAGATATATTTGCAATTCTACAACTGGTGCTTCTTTAATTTCAACTTCTACAGCACCTATTTACAATGAAGATGAATTTGTTCCAGCTATAGTCTCAAAAGGTTTATATTTTTAAATTATGTATTAAAAATATACATTAATAATTGAAAAAGTTTTATAAATTTTTCATTAACTGAAGTTTAATCTTGTTCAAAAAGTTAATTTTTCCATATGGCATTGTATAGATTCTAAATATTTTTCAAGGTGGAAAATAATGACACAAAGATATAGTATTACAGTAGTACCTCAGGATACGAAATTAATCTGTTCCTAAACTGAGATCATAACATGAAAATGTCGTAAGGTGAATCATTTTTCCCCATACGATTACATGTAAAACCAAATAATCCGTTCCAACACAAAAAAAAACACTCAAATTAAAGCTAAGTAGTACATTGAAAAAAAAAAAACTTTAGTAAGGAAAACACTGAAAAATGTTTTGTAGTTATAAATAACAATAATTGATTAAAAAATTAGTCTTATTTGCACTTTACCTTTGAGGATAGACAACGGTGGAGATGTAAATTGGTGGCGGAGGAGAGGGAGAAGGGAAATGATACTAAAACTTAACTTACATGACATAATGTAACAATAACTTAAAAAATAACCTAATGATAATTTTTTTATCTTTTCTGTTTTATATATTTTTTCTAATTTTTATTCACTGCTTTTTGCTTTCTTTCCTTCACTTCCACTGGATAGAGGTCGCTTGGTAAAATATCTACCCAAAGCGGTTTGGCTTTGCCTATTTTTTAAAATGTTTCTAAAATGACTTAGGCAAATGTCATTACTCCGAGCAGTAATACGGCCAATGTGAACCTTTTCGGGGTGTTTCTTTTCAATAAAATCAGTCACTTTCTGATAATACCTCGAGATTTCCTTTATTGAGCGAGACCCTTCCACAACGAACACACAGACTGAGACCGATGAACAGAAGTGAATAAAAAATAGTGCTACGAACTAACGTAACGTCGTATGGTGAGTTTTTGTTCATACCATGGAGCAAAAATATGTTTGAATTTCATGACGTATCCTGAAAATTTCGTACGCTGAAGAGTTCGTATCCTGAGGTACTACTGTATATTTTTTAAACTTTTTGCCTTGTGGGCACTAAGAGGACCTTTCAGCAAGTCCATTCCAATGAGGCAACCAGTAGTGGGGACAGAGCTTGACATCTGGACAAAAAATTCTCGGAGTGTTTTGACCTGTCCAATTTCAATCCTGGTTCCCTAGAGCAGTAGGCTGCTATCTTAATTAACCACTTAGCCACCTGACTGATAATATAGTACTATTTAAGTTGTTTTCTTCTTGTATTATTTGTTTGATAACTTCATTAATTAGTAAATATTTTCTCAAAATTTCATATACTGTATTTTAAGTTTATATATGTATATATATGTAGTTTATATGGAAGATTTAATAATTATTTATAGGATCCTGTGTTTTAATACATGGAAAAGTTATTCATAAAAGTGAAAAAAATTTGTCATCAAAACCTCGACCAGCCTATACTTTCCATATAATTGAAAATCATAACACAATTTATAGCAAAGATAATTGGTATGTACTATCATCTTAAATTTAATTATTTCTAAAACATGATAGATAAATTTTTCATATTTATTACATTATATTGCAAATTATTAGAATGTTTCAGACAATCAAATATTTCCAAGACAAGCTCATGCACGCAGGGTTTAATCCCTCCCATTTGGAAATACTAAATAAATATAAATTTTTAAATTTATCTATTCAGTTCCTGCTTAGTCTACTGTATTGTTACTCTATATACCTATATTATAAAATTTAAAAAAACTACATTATAATTTTTAAGCTTCTCTTAAGAATCTGGTGCATGATCCAGCCTCGAGGTCAACTGGCAATTACTATAAGTAACTGACTGAATAGCTTCTACTCCAGATTAATAAACACCAGACTATCCACTTTGAAAAATTATTCTTTGCAAACAATTATTGTATAGAAAATTGATATCCAGGTAAAAATGCATTGAACATGCACACTTAATTAGTTGACATAGCAAGAGTCAGGAGTAACAAGAGTTAAATTTAAATGTATTATATATATATATTAAAACTAGCTTTTACCTGTGACTTCACCTGGACAGTTTTTGCAAGCAAACTCCATCTATATTCGAGTATTTCTACAACCATAGTAATTGTTATATAACACCTACTGCTGAGAATAATGAGAATTGCTGAGAATCAAGCATACTATTTTCAATTTGATCAGTTTTCTGGAACGTTTACAATCATTCTATAATCAAACCAATATGAAATAATAAATTCGAATTTAAAACGGTTCAAACATTTAGTTAAAACATTGAAATATATAAAAATATTTATAACAATGTCCGAAATGTTATCAATTTAATACACCTAAGTACTCGATGAAGACTAAACGTAGTTGAAAACAAAAAATTGCATCTAAAATAATACAGTAGAAGCCGTTCTTCAGATTAAGCCTTAATGCTCTCTCTCCCCCCATGGAGGAATTTCGAAAAATCCCTTCTTAGTGTTCATTTTCATGATGTACCATAACTGTGTACCAAATTTCACCTCTTTAGGTCCAGCAGTTTGCTCTGGGCAATGATCAATCAATCACTCAGTCAGTCAGGACAAGTAATTTTATATATTTAGATACGAAATATGGAAAAAATGCAAATGAATAATGTAACATTGCACTATAGCATTAGCAATGTTATATTTTAGTTGTCAGTCAGATTAGATTTTTTTACTTTATGGAATTTGTTTTGTACTAATGATACTAACCTTTCTAATACAACACTTATCATTTTTCAAGGATATAGTATTATAATTTAAGCTTTTCATTTTAAATGTTTAAGAAATTAGATACTATGCATAAGCCACACTATTGGCATTCAAAAGTCATTTAACAACTCACAAATCATACTTTACCCACTAATGGTATATAACAGTAATGCCAATTAAGGGAAAAAGAATTCTTCAACTAACAATCTCTCTTAATAAGTGATAGGTACCATTAATTATTATTATTGTGAAACAATGAGGGGTGCTTTTTGTAATAATTAATATAAACACTAAAACAGTGCGGTTGAGATTATGGAATGATCTCAATTTATTTGTTAACCACTTACTATTGAGACCTTGCAATTATTGCTTTTAAAAAGAAGTTTTATTCAATAACATACTTCTTTTTACATTATGCATTTTGGCTCTCTTCAGTTGTACCATAAATTAAAATGCATAAAAGTTACAATTATATTTATAAATTATTCTAAGGGATATTTCTTACAAAATTTTATGATATTACTTACAATTACACGGTGTACATAAGAAAAAATTATGACAACAAATATTTTTTTATTTTTCATTAACAATGTTTACAGTTCTATTATGTTCACTTCTATTAGGCTACATCAAAATAAACAATTATTTTAGTTTTTTACATATAAATATTTATCTTTTTGGAGCTAGAATCACAGATTGTAATAATACTGCTTTCATTTCAAACAATACTGTCAAAAAACTATCTCCTTTTCAAATTACTGGAGTTAATCCAACCAAAAACAAAACCTTTAAATATCAGTAACATAACTTTAACAAAAACTTTGAACATTTTCGGCCTTCTCCAAGGCCCGCCTCAGTTATTTTAACGAATCAAATTCCAAACTGGAATGCTAGTACGTGTTGCAGCCTGACCAGCAAGTGTATTAACTTTAAAATACTGCAACATGGTGTCACATGTGTGGAAGTACCTTTATGAAAAATTCAGGCAAAGTTAACTTATATTAATTCATCTCAGACACTATGTAAATCTTAAAAATGTATGTATGTGACATGGTCATACATTTACGATTGCTAGTCTATCTATCATATGAATTTGGTACATGTTATGGAGTTGTTCAAAATTTTAAAATTGATTTTTCGAATATTATCGTACTTTCATTCCAGAATGGAATTTGATTAGTTAAAATACCTGAGGCAGGCCTTGGAGAAGGCCGAAAACGTTCAAAGTTTTCGTTAAAGTTATGTTACTGATATTTAAAGGTTTTGTTTTTGGTTGTATGGCAATAGTATCTTTCCAATTAGGCCAGATTTGCATGCATATGCATTTTTATTCCTTAAATGTTGTGATGCTGAAACCTCGATATAAACATGAATTTGGGCCAAGTAAATCAAATTTTGTCCAATAATGCATATAAGTGTTTGTCATCTTTAGTGCATAGTTTGCACATTTAACTATTTTCATGACTAAATAAGTGCTTTATAAACTTTATAGCTCATCTGCATTTTTTGCCAGTTCTATTTCTTTTTTTTAATGATCTATAGTCTGTTTCTGCTAACTGTGCAGTGAACCTTTTGTGAATGTACAGTACACACACAATCAAAAACCTTTAAACTCCAGTAGCACAATATTTTTATGAAAACAAATGTTTTCGACCTTACCCAATTTCAGCTTCAGGATTTTAACCAACAAAATTCCAAAATAGAATGTGTAGAACAAACATATTTGAAAAAGTTGTTTTTAAAATTTGGAACAACACCAAACATATATAAAAAATTTGAACGGTAGATACTACAAAAAAATAAAAATTATTGTATATGGATAGTTATATTCTTTTATTAAGATGTAAATAATGGCTCAGATAAATTAATATATGCTAGTGTTGCTCAGTTTTCATAAATGTACCTCCATGCATAGGATACAGTGTTACTGTCTAAAGTTAATACATTTGCCAATCAGGATGGCCTTGTAAATTTCCAAGGCTTCCAGGTTCTGAATATGATTAATTTGAAAGGATCAGAAATGTTCGTTTTCATAAAAATTTTGTGTTACTGGAGTTTAAAGGTTCATCGTGTGTGATTTGTTCCAGTTATTCGGTAAGAAGATAGTTATATCAAGTTCAGTTCAACCAACAATATGGATAAAACAGCAAAACCTAATGCTGAAATTACAGTTTAGATCCTAAAGATTGAAAATTCTTTATTGTAATGTATGTAACAAATAATTTCCTGCTAAAAAGACATGAAGTCTCAAAACTGGCCAAAAACAGTAATTGATCACTAGTAAATCCTAGTTGCACTGAAGCTAACTTTAGTAGGACTTATATCATCAGTTGAAAATAAAACATTACTACCAACTTCAATACTAAATCTGTAATTAATGTAGTTAATAACTTAATAAGAACACTTACTCATCACTCATCATCTGTACAGGGCTATAAACAAAATCCAGTAGAGTTGCTTAACTTTTCCTACAACATTTGGTAGCACCATCTGTTGTGATATTTTATTTAAAAACTTATATTTTTAATTGTTATAACATGGCAAAATCTCAATTTTGAGGGTAGGGACAGGTTTTAAAAAAATCATAAATGCTAATAAGTAAAATCATCATTAAGTCTGACCCCTATTGGATATACACAACCCCTCAACCTTTACTCACCAAAATTTACTAGCATTGATTCCCATAATACACAAACATCCCTGCAAAATTTCAGAAATTTTCAACAAAAAGCATAGAAGTTATTAAGCTTCAAAGACAGTGAACAAAATCGTGCACCCTCAACACATTAATATCCACTAGGGTTTCTCAAATGGGATTCCGGTTGTTTTTCTAACCCGGGAAATATCCCGGGAAATTTTTCTTATCCCGGGAAATCCCGCAAATTTCTTAAAAATTCACTTTTTTCTTATTTTGTGTTAAGGTTGAGGAATTTTGCAAATAGAAAGCATAATTAACTCATTCACTGTCAGAATACATTTGTATTTATTAATTTTAAACCTACCTATTAGTTTTTTTTAAATTTTTGCTCGTTATAGCATGTCACAAATGGTCAATAATCAATATATAGCTTATTTGTGGCAGGACTATAAAAATTCTTTACTTGTCGGAACCTGTAATATCTGGAATAATTGTGCTTACGCTGTCTTGAGTTTTAACCATGCCCAGTAGCTTCAATAAATGCCTGACGCCAGATTGTGCAAATTGGGCAAGGATACAAACGAGTACAAAGTCTGCAAGTATGAAGTTTTTCTTCATAAACCTGATTATTAAAGCCAAATGAATTGCCGAATTATCGAGCTCTAAGCTTGATGCCGCTATTAAAGCAGCCAAGGTAGACAAATCAAGAATACTAGAGAGCGAAAGAAGTACTACAATCTCGAAAACGAACTCGAAATCTTCCAGGCTACAGGTGAAAAAACACATAATATCTGTCTTCTCTTAAATGCATTAAACACTATTCCAATCACATCAATTGAATCGGAAAGGGCATTCTCGGTGGCAAGACTTTTCATTACTAAAATAAGAATTAGAGTGAGTTATCGGAGTATTGACCATCTTTGCTTTTTAAAATCTTATAAAAGTTTGCAATATTTTGTATTATATTTTATTTAAAAAACGAAAATTACCTTCTAAATTAGAAGTTCATTTTTTTTAATTTTTAACTCAATTCAAAACATTTTTTTTTTTTGTTGTTGTATGCAGTTTCCAGCAAACTTTAATTAATTTTTTTCTATTTGTGAAAATTTCTACGTTATTTAAAGGTAATTTTTATTATAGGCCTATAGACCTTACACAGCATTATTAATATGATTTTGGAGGTTACAGAACTTTAAAATTACTTTAAAAAATGGAAAGTAATTATATAATTTGATTTCAAGATATTTTGTATACCTTAAAAATAATTAATTCTATCCCGGGAAACAGTTCACTTTTATCCTGGGACAAGCAAAAGACCGGGAAATGAGAAACCCTAATATCCACACACAAAAAACTCCCAAATTTTTATTTGCATTTCTCAATATTTCACGGTCCAGAGTCCAAAAATGTAAAAATTTTGGGGAGGTCATTTTTTGACCAATCACCATACTTTTCCTACTTTTCCTATTATATATAACAGAGCCAGGAAAGTAAAAACATTTAACTACTTTAGACCAATGACAAATATAGGACAAGGGAAACTATGTTAACCCAGTCATCCCCCAAGTATCTTGTAAATAGTTTTATATATAGATATCAATAAAAATTGATTAGTTAGCATACAAAATTATAAAATTTTATTTGTAGTTGACATGATAGAATAATGTTTCATTTAGGAAGTGAGCTAATATATTTTGTGATATTATAATTATCTTCTATTCTCACATTTATTCCCTCTCACTTAAAATGTGTGACATAATAAATATTAGTAAGAGTTGATCACAGACAGAAGTACCAATGCATTTCAACTTACAAATTTTAGTTTATATTACTGCTTTTTTATATTGGGTTGTTTGGAAAGTAATTTCGTTTTTTTCCATGGAAAAAAACACAATATTTTTGTAATAAATAAATATTTTATTTAATTATATATCGACTATTTTGGTCAAATACCTGTTTCCATCATTTCTGGTAGTAGCATGATTCCACGTTTATAAAAGTTTTGATGTTTGCTTACAAAAAACAGATCCAAGTAATTTTTGACATTTTCATTTCAAGTAGATGTCTTACAGTTAAAAAATTTTGTAAAGACTGGAACAACTAATAATCTGAGAGTGCCTGGTCTGGTGAATATGGTTGGTTTGGTGTGATAGCACATCCCATCTAAGCTGTAACAGTTTCTGACCAGTTACTAAACTTGTGTGAAATTTGGCATTATCGTGGTAAAACACTACACCTGTTTTGTTGATCAATTCTGGCCTTTTCTGTTTGATGATATTACTCAATTTGACTCGATGGCAGTACACTTTCGAATCAATTATTAAATTGTCTGGTAAAAGCTCAAAAAAAATATATATATATAATAAAATATTCCTTAAAATTCCACTAAAAGAGAGCATCTCTCTTTAAGAACATGTGGAACCCATATATTGAGCTTTGAAACTATACCAATTTGTTTCAAGTAATCATAAACGGTTCAATTCGACAAATTTAATCTCTTAGTGATTTCATGTGTTGTTATTTGGCAGTACCTTTATTTTGTTTTCATTGGCTTCAATTAGCCATCCAGAATGTGGTGCATCTTCAATATTGAAATTGCCAGAACGAAGTTTTGTAAACCAGTTTTGGCACTGTCTTTCTCCCAACACACCTTCTCCATACATGTACCACAATTTTTTTCTTGCTTGAACAGCATTTTGATTTTTTGGTAATAAAAAAGCAAAATACGTAAAATCAAAAGCACTATTTTCGGCATATTTGATGGGACGAAAAAAAAATTGTACATAATCAAACAAAATTTTTTACAAATAAGCCTTTAAAACATCAGTTGTCAAAATATATAATGAAAATGTAGTTTAGGATGAAATTGGCTGGTAAAAATACATCTAATTCCTCTTGTAATAAAAAAACGAAATTACTTTCCAAACAACCCAATAGTACATAATGAATATTTCATGTAATTTAATTTGCATATAGCAGTGCATATATTGCAATTTTAAATGGATAAAAGGTTAAGTCATTTTGCCTAGAGGATTTTGCCAGGATATTTGGATGTTTATATTTATAATTTATTTTCTTTTTATTTTCTAAAAAAAGTAATTCAAATTAAACAAATAATGAATGTCAGTAATATAAAGCAACTGTGTCTAAATATTTTTTTATTTGGTTAAAAATAATCATAATTCCTCTAGTATTTCCAGTTTTTTGTAACAAGTATCATGTTATAAAAATACCACCTTTTTAACCATCCAGCAAAAATATTTAATAACGTAAAAAAACATTTTCAACCGTTTTTACATTATTAAATATTTTTGCTGGTTAAAAAGGTGGTATTTTTATAATTATTCTAGTTCCAGTATAGTTTATTATTGTTTTTACAAGTATCATGTTTCCATTAATCCATCAATTATATTATATTTAAAACACAATTTATTAATAAATTATTATATTGTAATTTATGTAAGCTTTCAAAGTATAATAATAACTTTTTTAATTTTTTCAGGTTACAACCTACAAGCAATTTAGCATTTCCATCACTATACAGAGAAGATGTTTAAATTGATTAAGATGTTCCTATTTAATCAGAATGTTACATCATTTATTTAGAAATATTAATGTAAAAGTTTTCATTATATAAAATTTCTAAACTTCAAATTTGAAACTGTTTTATTAAAATATATATATATATATANCTCTTGAAATCTGAAAAAATTTTAATAATAATTTATGTATAGAATTAATTTAAACTAATAATAAATTTATAAAAACATTAAAAACTTACTTGCAATTTGGACAAGAATAAAATACAGTTTGTCCTTCATCTGCAGACCTTGTTTGTAAAGTTGCATATGTCATTCCTTCATGCCCACATTTTGAACATTTTCGATCAACCTATATAAAATTCACATTAATAAATCAAAATCTTATCACAAATTTCCTATTATCTAGTTGCTAAAAATTAAAATTTTTAAACTAGAATTTACATAACTAAATTGAAAAATAATACTGACATATTTATTTTTTTTAGTGAAAATTAAAATTGTATAAACTCCAGTCTTCATAATTTAATTCTAATCTTTCCAATGCTGGAAATCAATCTTCAATTTTATTGTTTAACAACCCAGACAAATCTAGACATACGAGGGTTGTTCAAAAAGTTCCCAAACTTTATTTATTACAAAAAAAATACTTCACTTACAATTTATTTATCAAGGTCTCCTCCCCAACATATACTCTTATCCCAATGCTGTTTCCACTTTTTGAAACAGTCCTGGAATGCTTTTTTTCGGAATGTTCATAAGCTCCTCCATCTTTTTTTTTTCTATCTCTGGAATGGTGGCAAATCTTTTTCCTTTGAGCATGTTTTATAGTTTGGGAAACAGGAAAAAGCCACATGGGGCAAGGTCAGGTGACTATGGTGAGTAGGGAAGCACAGTGATCTTGTTTTGGCCAAAAACTCATGAGTTCTGAGGGACAAATGAGCCAATGCATTGTGAAAAAACCACTTGTCGCTCCTCCAAAATTTGGGCTCTTTTTGCCTGATTCTGTCTCTCAGGCATTTCATAAACTACAGGTAGTACTCAGTGTTGACATTCTGGCCTATAGGTAGGCATTGATGATGCACAACCCTCTCTGCATCGAAAAACCAGTCAACATCACCTTAACATTTGAGTGAACTTGTCAAGCTTTTTTGGGGTGGGAGACGTTTCACCCACCCATGGGAAGTTTCCGTGAAGGATTTTCCGAGTTTCACACAGAATTTCATAGAACAACACTGCTCCTTCAAAGATCATTTCCACAGATCTGATTTTTCGCTGAACCCCACAAACACCCCTTCACATAAATGGCTGTAACTAATCACCAAAACAAGATATCAACAAATGGATTGAAGGAGGTTACTGTGAGACCACGGATTTTAAATTGGGAATTTTGTAAATGAAAGGAAACTATTCCTTTTTTTTTTTTCGTTGATTGAAATTTTGTAAACACCACCCCACAGAAAAACTCCTTGTGGAGTATCAGAGCAGAGGTCTCCTCCAATTATCAACAATTAGGTGGGAAAGTTGACACTTAGTTGTCTTGAAATGCAAGTCATCGTCAACAAACGGATGGCTTTCCCATACTAACGTTATAAAAGCTGGCACTGCTGGAAACATAGGGCAGACCAACCCACAGAAGTTATTTCTGTACTTGTGTCATCAATCTCCATGTTCAGGAACAGAATCCCAACGGAGAAGACATATGACGCCATACCTCAGCCATCCCCTCCAATCTTATACATAGAGGTATCTGTTAGAACTTTGTAAACTCGCTCCCCCGAGTAGTATTTTATTGCATTTAACCACATTTAATTGAGTAGCATTTAGTCAGATAGACTTGTAACCAAATTTTATATGTTAACTTTAGTTAATCAATAAATGTTCTGTTTGTTAACCTGTTGACCCTTTTCCCATGAAGACATCTGTCCACGTGCTCGCAACCTCCCCACTCACTTTTTGCCCTCCTAAGCCATCCATCGATACAGAGATCGGGTTTTAACAACCTGTGCAGTATAAGTGGTCATTAGGGATTGTTCCTCTGACCCTCTGCTTATCTCACATTACTTGGGAGGTTTCCACAGACACAATGCCTCCAAGCAGATTAAAAAATAACCAACTGGAGATGGGCTATTCAAAAAGTTTGGGAACTTTTTGAACTACCTACGTATTGCCTTTGTAAAGCATCAATGAATATTTGTGGGACGAGACTGTCTTGGAGACTCACTACTATGCAGGATCATTTCGACTCTCACAGCGGATCTTGTTCTCATTCTCCAATCTTTTTTGGTATCACTGGTTTTGAGTGCGATCATTCAAACTTCGCTGGCCACGGCCACAACCACAAGGTCATCCATGATGCATTTTTTTTTTGTTGATGCCTAACAAAAATTTCCCATTTTTGAAAAAAATAATTGTGGCTATTGTATCATCTGAAATTATTTTTTTATTTTGCACAAACAAAATAAATATATTAATAAATGTAAAAAAAAAAAGAAAAAATAGATTTCAGAACTTAGTTTTAATATGGGTTATGGGTGGGCAGAAGCTATATCACCCTGACAGTTTAGCAGATGGAGCAGTGGTGCTCCCTAGTAAAGATAGTGTTTTGAGTTTTGTTGAAGAAGGATTTTAATATACATAGACTTGTTTTATTTTTAATGTTTATGAGGCAGTCACTAATCTTATTGATGCCATTGTCTTGAGAGTTCAAAGTTGTCAAAAGTAGATTTCTGATCCCTTGGAAGATGACACATTCATCTACTCTATGCAGGGAGGTATCAGATTTGGAGGGGCATTTGTCTGGACAGGAAAGATTCTGTTTGTGCAGGAAATGGTTGGTGAGAAGAGTTGGTACAAGCTCTGTCGATGAGAATGGAGGTACACCTGTCCAGATCTTTGTAACTGGTGTTGGATATATTTTCCAGCCATGGATAGGATTCCCTTTTGGGACACACTGTCTAGAGCTAGTTCATTTTTTCTTTTATTTCACGTTTGCTGATGGAGAGAAAGACTTCTGGGGAGATGACAATTGTATTGATGGTGGAGATGAGATAAGCATGCTCTTGGCAAGCCTGTCTGCTTTTTTGTTGATGGAGATGCCTGCATACCTGGAAGTCCATATGTAGATGCTGGGGGTATGGTTTTGATTAGAGGATAAGGCGGGGTTTGTTCAGAGAGTTCATGCTTTCCAAGATAGACTTGGTGTCTGTACAGATGATGGTTGGTTTATTAAGATTAACTGTACGGGAGGTAACTTGAAGGATAGCATAGCCCTCAGCCATGAAGATGCTCATATTGGGATGGAGGGTGTAATGAGCAGAGATGTTATTCGTTATGTCGATGTAAGCCGAGAAGACAGACTCATTATTCTTGGAGCCATCAATAGCTATAGGCACTTCACATTTCTGTTGTTGAATCAAATTGTTGAAATTTACCTGTAGAATCTCAGGGGAAAGGGAGGACTGTTGGAAAGATAGACTATTCGTGCAGATGAGAGGTTGCTTGATGTCTTTGGAGCAATGCTGTACTAGATGTAGCTATCTTGGGTAATATTGTGATGATGAATCCAGGTATGAGCTGCTTGGATTAGAGAGATTTTTATAAGAAAGATGCCTGAGTCAGAGTGGATGAAGTGTAATATCTCACTAAAAAGCAGGTCAATGTTATTTTTCTTGGAGTATGTTCTGAACTGTTTGATGATGCAATGGTGGAACCTGGTGGTGATGTTGGGTTTGTTAGCAGTGCGAAGAGTGGTGATGTTGGTAGAGTAGGGTAGGCCAAGACAAAGTTTGAGATATTGGTTCTGAATGGTTTGTAGAGTTTTGATTTGATGCTTCGTTAGATAAATGATGCCAGGAATTATGTAATCGGCAAGACTACCAATGGAGCTTTCAGCTATGATGTTGAGGTCATTATCTTTTGGCCAGAAAAATATTTTGTAATTGAAACATGTAATAATAATATTTGCCTTATTTGTCACAATAAAACTGCTGTGTGAAATTGTGCATTTTCAGAATTTATTAAAAAGAAAAGAAGAATTTCTTGTGAACTTTGAAAAATATAGTAAATTATGTGAAGTTTTGTTAAAATATTTAACAATGAGATTTTCTGACTTCAGAAAATAAAAACTGAGTTAAAATTGTTTAATGATCCATTTTCATTTAATTATGTAAAAATAGCAGCCGAATACCAGCTAGAACTCTGATTTTCAAAGCAGGAAATCTTTGAAAACTTATCATAGAGAACATTCCATTCATGACTTTTATAAAGAAGTTCATTCTTTCAATGAATTCGAATAAAATTATCAATTTATCCAGAAAACAGTTATGCACGTGGGGTAGGTAGTACTGTACAGTACATACTGTTGTGAACAATTTTTTCGTGCATGAAGAACATCAAAGCTGGTGAAAGATATAAGTTGAGTGATTCCCATTTAACTAACATTCTTAGAATTAAGACTACTACCACAAAATCCTCGGCTGGATGGCCAAGCAGTCAAAGGGGCAGCCTACCGCTCTGGGGAACTTGGGATCAAATCCAGACAGCTCAAAAAATCCCCACAATTTTTTGCAGTGTGGTCCATCCAGATATGTCAAGCCCTGCCCCTCACCACCCAGCTGCCCCATTGTGAGCTTGGCCGAACCCATAATGGACTTGCTGTAAGGTCCTCTTAGTGCCCACAGGGAGGAAAGAGTTAAAAAAAAAAGTAAATAAAGTACCACAAAAGCAGATACAGTAGAGCATTGATTATCCAAATATCGATCAACCAAAATGTCAATTAACTGAAAGCTTTCCAATCGGCAAATTTAAATTTCCACTAGTGCTGTGGTGCTGCAATATTTGGCTATGTCTTGGGCTACTCCAATATTATTTTTGTTGATGTGCATGCTTTAGCTGGCAGCACTGATGCAACCATGAGAGGGTACTTACGGGCGTGCCAGGATTTGAATGAATTTCAACACAGGATAGGTTAATATATTTTTTCATACATAATCGGTTATCCAAAACATACATTTTCTGAACAACCCCAGTCCCCAATTGATTCAGATAATCGATGCTATACTGCAGTGTTTTCCAATCTGTGGGTCGTGACCCCCAGGGGGTTGCGGGTAAAAGAAAAAGACAAGTGTTTGTAGGTCATACACTACATTAAAAAAGCTACAATTTCAGCGAGAATTACGGCCCATCCCAGAAAATGATAGCCAAAAAAGTGTTGAGCTGATTTGCAAAAAGAAATAAAAAGTAGAAAAGTAGAAGCTGAAAATTCAGATCCTTAAAAAAAAAAAAAGTCAACAGCTCCCTGTGCCCAATGTTATAATTAAAGGAAGTTTCATACTTCTAATTTGGCTCATTAAGAAAAAAGGTTAGACAACCCTGGTATAGTGAATACTGACCAACTGCAGTAACCACCGTAGAGTAAGATTAAGAAAACAAATTCCCTGCTTTGAAGAGCTAGTTATAAGTACAAACCATTAAGCAAGAAGTGACTGTACAAATTTCTCACTGGACAGCAACTTTTTGGACATCCTGTATTAGCCATCATTTTCAATTAACTGATTTATTTATCTTTCATCACAATGAAAAATCAAAACTACATTAAATTAAAAGGAATTCAGATATTCAATATATTTCATAATAAAAACTGTAAAAAAAAAATATTAAATAGCAATGTAATTAAGAATACAATCAATTGCTAAATTGATAAATCAAGACAGTGTAAAGAACACCCACACTGCTGTAAATAATCAGACTATAATTTGAAAAGAATAATTATGAATTATAAGTGAATTTGGCACTAAAGGAAGACATTAGGCGCCATCTCGTATTAAAATTAATTGTAATATTTAATTAATTAATTTAGATTAAACTGGAAGAAAAGAATTGGCCCGAAGTGGTACTCGAACCCGCAACTCTTGCTTATTTATGGCAGTGCGGGTGCACATTTGCTATGCATTGGGTTTCTGTTGGTGTTTACATTTGTAAATCAAGACATTTTAATGTTTTCATTTTTAAAACATAAATAAATTATGAAGAATAATAAATAAATATTGAAGTTTACTCATTTTAAAATCTTATTAGAAAATGAAAATATAGTTCACTTCACGCCAGCATTTAGAAATTAAATATAGGACACTTCCGTGTTGCGGCGTTATTGCTCGCTAGTACTTTCGACAGTTTACAACCATCATTTTCAGGCGATTACAAATTACGCAATGCATTGCGTAATTTGAAAAGTCCATTAAAAGCTGTCAATTCGAAAACAAAGGTATTCGATTTCGCCTGAAGATGAGTAAACTGTTGAAAGTACTAGTGAGCATATCTGAAATTTAACGAATTGCTGTCAATAACGCCGCAACATGGAAGTGTCCTATATTTAATCTTATTGGAAACATTCCAAATTTTAAAAGCTTTTGGAATGGATGATATAGTTTGTTTAAATTTATCAATTTCATCAATATTTGTTGAATATAAAATGATTATAAAATTTAAATTCTGGAATAATATTTGTTTTATTTTTACAGCATAGTTTTTATATTAAATCACTTCTAATGCTACTAAAATATTTTTTTTTTGAAGATATGCTATAAATTAGGGATGGCCAACAAGTTGATTGTGAAGCCAATTTTGGTTGATCGCTTGCGATGTCTTGACTTAATGTGTTACACTTGTGACCAAATGCAATGCGTGAACGTAACATGCAAACGCAACTATAGTGATATTGGACCCCGTGTCTTCCTTCAGATGCGGTTTTGTCGGTCCATGTGCAATCCATTTGCATACAATTGTAAAAGGTGAATAAGAAATGTAGATAAAGGGTCATAAAACTGAAAAAAACAAAGGCAGTTAGAGGGACAGAGAGAGTAGGTCGTGACACAGTAGAGAGAGGAAGGATGAAGTGGTGTTCCCGAAAGTGACAATGTTGAGTTTCAATTTTCTTCTGTTTAAAATGTAAGTACCTTTTCTTCATGTTTTAAATAAAATTGTGGCTTTTATTACCTATCTAAACATAGTATGTATTTCACACCCTCTTGCCACTTAGACTATGCCTATGACAACTAGTCAATCACGACACATTTTTAAGATAAAAAGTAGATCTTATGTACACAAAAGTTGGCCAACTCTGCTATAAATTAATGTTTGTTGTATAAAATAAAAATATGTTAAATATTACTCCAAATTATTCTTAAATTCCATAAACGTTAGTCACATTTTTTTCACTTTTAACTCTTTCAATCCTGCAGACATTGAGAGTATTTTTCCATTATCCCCATGGGTTCTGCCAGCCCACAATGGAGTGGCAGGGTGGCGACAAACAAGTTCCAACATAATCAGAACAGATCATCCTTTCGTGCTGATCCAGATTCCATTTTTGGTTCTAAAGAGCATTAAGCTAATATCTTAACCGCCTCTCCCATTTGGCCATTCCTGGCTACATATTGTAAATTATAAGAAATGAAATTGCTTCTTCTGAAAAGCAAAGTTTTTCATAAACATTTTCAGCCTATCTTAGTCTAGTATCAGCTTGTACAGTAGACAGAAATATTCACGTTTTTCATGAACTATAGAGGGTGCTGTATTTTTACAAAATGGTTACTTTATCTGGGTTGCTTGTAACTAGTTAACATAAAATTAATCATATATTACAGTCTGATATAATGATATATGTTAATTGTAGCTGTTTATCGAGAAATTTATAGAACAATTACTGCTAGTGGGACACGTCATTACATATATTATAGAAACAAATGAGCGAGATCATTCTATACAATTGTACATTAGCTTTGACATCTGTCCCATCAGGATCATAATTACAAGCAAGCTATGTTACTTACCTTTTTGCTTAGGGCCTTGAGTTTCAAGGAACTTCAAAAATTTTTACAAAAACAAAAATCAAAGTCATATTTTCTAATAAACATTTTTTTTACAAACCAACAAAAATATACTTAAAATACTACACAAAATAAAATGTAGTTAATATGTTTATGTTAATTCTTTTCTTTTCACGATTGACTTCTAAAAATATAATGGGTTGGTAAGAGGCCTCACACAGTGTTCAGCTTAGGGCCTCGAAATGCTTAGATCTGACCCTGTGTCCCACACAAAATTACCAGCATTTTAAACATTAAGGAAAAAATCTTTTAAAATTGACAACATTACTTGTTCATATAAAGCTGAACAATTGGGAAACTTTTTGCCAATTCTTAATAGTCTTTACATCAGTTATATTTATGAGTTCAGCATTCTGATTTCCAAATAATCATCTGTTTTTCATGTGGGAATGCATGAAAATTTATAGTGGGTTCCCATATGGCTTTGAAATTGCAATTTGGAATGCGACAGAAAGCTTTGTTTTTTCTATTGCTATTCATCTTTACTGTTGACAATACTCAAACAACCAAGTTAAAATAGTTCTGTTTTTAAACACCACAGAGTGAGCATCCAGTGAAAAATGCAAATAATGAACAAACATTTGAAATGTAGATCATCAATTCTGAACATATGAATCAAACAACATACAAACTTTCAATAACATTTACAAATGTCTATGAAGCTTAAATTCCACAAATACAAAAAATTTACAAATAAAAATTAGATTAATTTTAATCAATTATATATTTTACCTAAAATTTTTTAATTCTAAACATACCAATGGTCCACATGCTTTATCTTCAACAATTTTCCTGCTGTTTTTCAAAGCTTTCTCACGATCATTAAATATAACCTCAGATGTCATTGTGAGACCATCAAATTCTATATAAATACAGAATTATTAAAAATTAAAATTCTTTATTAATGATAAAAAAGATTAAAATATTCTAATTTAAATTAGTCTATAATTATTACTAATGGTATGAATAAAATTAAATTAAAAATGAAAGTAGGCTTCGTGCTTTACAACTTACCATATACAAATTTTATATCCTTTGTAAAAACAAAGGATATAAAATTTTCTATTATTATTTATGAACTGATAATGCTAGCTATCACTTTGAGTTGTTCACTATTATCAAATATTTAGGTCAATGGGCGTATGACCTATTGCAAAAATAGAAGCCAATTCAAGCTCTGAACGAGACAGTTGGGACCTTATCAGAGCCATAAAGCATACCCATAGAAGCAAAAAAGTCAAACAAATCCATACTTCTACAAGAGACCCTTTGTGAGTTACGGCCCCCGAAATCGGGTGGTACGAAATTGCACGTCACATCACTCCACTAGACTAGTAGTACATTGTAGTAGTACATTGTAATCATACTCAATAGTAGTAGTACATTGAAAAAAAAAAAAAAACTTTCAGTAAGGAAAACACTGAAAAATGTTTTGTAGTTGTAAATGTATAAATAACCATAATAGAATAATAATTGATTAAAAAATGTAGTTTTATTTCAACTTTACCTTTGAGGATAGACGACGGTGGAGGTGTAAATTGGTGGCAGAGGAGGGAGAAGGAAATGATACTAAAACTTAACTTACATAACATAATGTAACAATAGCTTAAAAATAACCTAACGATATTTTTTTTTATCTTTTTCTGTTTTATATATTTTTTTTAATTTTTATTCACTGCTTTTTGCTTTCTTTCCTTCACTTCCACTGGATAGAGGTTGCTTGGTAAAATATCTATCCAAAGAGGTTTGGCTTTGCCTACTTTTTAAAATGTTTCTAAAATGACTTAGGCAAATGTCATAACTCCGAGCAGCAATACGGCTAGTATGAACCTTTTCGGGATGTTTCTTTTCAATAAAATCAGTCACTTTCTGATAATACCTAAAGATTTCCTTTATCGAGCGAGATCCTTCCACGACGAAGCAAACACGCAGACTGAGACCGATGAACGGAAGTGAATAAAAAATGGCGCTACGAACTAACGTAATGTCGTATGGTGAGTTTTTGTTTGTACCACGGAGCAAAAGTATGTTTGAATTTCACGTCGTATCCTGTAAATTTCGTATGCCCGAAGCGTTCGTATCCTGAGGTACTACTGTATTTGAATATTTGTAGTCTTGGGAAAAAAGTAGGAAGACAAATTTTTATGACAATGGATACATAAATCATAAATTTAAGGAAAATAAATTCTAGAGATTTTGTTGTACCTCGTGCATCTCATTCATTAAATTTGGTTCAAAATGATGCCAAGTTAATTTTTTAACATCGTACAAGAATCACTCACATTTTTTCTGCATTCCCTTATAGATAGGACATACAAAATCGTAATATAACTGGTTTAACATTGAAATCTGTAATATAAGTTGGGAGAGCGGAATAAATATGTCAAATATTTTAATAGATTTTTCTAAAACTCCTGTCAATTATACAGAACTATCATAAAAACGTACCAGTAAACTCCTATCGGTTGGGTTAAGTTATAAATCTACTCGCAATTCACATAATCGAGCGAGGGCAGCCAAATATCTAGCAGGCAGGCAGTCTGCCTGCTAGATATTTGGCTGCCCTCGAACAGGTCCCGGATAGAATCATTGGAAGCATTATACGATATTTTGGTGCGTAGCTTCCATCAGCAAACCGGGCAAGGTTAGTGCTCCGTAAAGCGCATGCGCGAATGCGTATAATCTGGATGCTTGGAAGTCGACCCAGTTTTGACAATATAGAGCTTCCATTCTGCCACCGATATTCGAATATACAATAGCAATCTTATTGTTTTTTCACACGTAGTATAGAAATTTGTAATAAGATACATAATGCAGTTATAATAAAATATTAATTTTAATTCAAAGTACATTAAAATATGAAAATAATTGCACAATATGTATTTATATTTTAGAAAATACAAGGGAAGCGGCACGCCACCGGTCACACTTACAGGTACGGTTCCTTTCAAGTATTTTACTCTTACAGACGAGGGTTCACAATTCCGGGCGGGAACTCCTCATTCAAAGTTCACATCTTACCATCACGCGGTCCCAGCGAGAAAGCACAGAGAGTACTCTCGTTTGCACGGGTTACCTTTTTTTTACCTAGGTCTCGTACGTAGACCAGAAGCGGCTCGCGACGTAGGAGAGGCCGTAGGATGGTAAAATATAACCTCAAACTAATCTTTTTGTAATAGATTCAGTTCCATAATGAAAACTTTTTATCCTGTGTTTAATGTTATCAGCTAATTACTGTTATTAAAAATTGTAAGTCCCAAAGTGATCATAATGAACAATCGTAATAAATAATAGTAATTAAAAATTACATTGGAAATGAAAGAAAAAAGATAGCAAAACAGGAGGGAGAAAATGTATTAGTGTCTTGCTTGGATAATCGCGTTATTCTCATAAAATGTGAGTAATTAGACGGAGATAGTTTCAGCATTTTAAAAGTTGGTATTAAATTTCGGTATTAAGCACGATAGCATGAGAAATCGTTACAGCACTTGTAATGCACGGCGATAACATCCGGTCTACGCTTTCGTCCAACAAAACTTACCTTTTACATCGATACTAAATCGACAAACGTAACAAGTTACGGTATTTTCTGTGCCAGGAAGTGGCAAGATGGTGCCACATTCGGGACAAAAATCAATGTTACCGGTAAAACTGCTCGAAGTCATTATTTTATTTCACACCATAGACGATCGACCGTCATAAAAAGCGCCACCTAGAAGCTAGCAGTGACAAACGTCCAAGATAAAAAAATGTGAAATTTTCAGATATTGATATAAAAATTGTTTGACTACGGCATTTAATTAAAGTATAGGCTTATGAAGTTTTTGTTTATTACAGGCTGTCTATAAATTACGTCCGCATTTTTCTTGAAATTTTTACTCCCCCTGCTCCTGTTGCCCCAGTTTGTCCAGGTTTCTGTAACCCGCTCCCCTCTTCGGACGTCCAACAAAACTCGACCTTTATCACTTTATGAATGTCAGATACCATAAATAGAATCGAAACACGAGAAATTTTGAAATAAATATAATAAAATGCATAAATGAAATAAAATTTAATGAAATAAACGGACGTCCACTGAAGCTTAACCCTCTTCTCGCACCCTTGTCCGACTTGTCATAACCCCACCCTCCCTTCCGATGTGGACATCATATATAGACAGCCCCTTATAACTACAGTGGATATTACAATACAAAATATTTTTACGATACTTTATTTTTTTCGCTCTCCGCTGTAGGCAAAAACAAAAAAAAGGAATTAATTATAAAAATCTTTATTGCAAACTTATTATGGGTTCGGCCAGGCATGCAATGAGATTGCCGGGGAACAAAATACCCGAAAGGACTACCCCGAAAAATTTCTGGAGCTTTTCGACCCGACCAGATTCGATCCCGAATCCCTCGGAGGGCAGCTATTATCATAGCCACTCTTTCTTCTCTTTCTTTTTACTCTTACCGCCCTGTGGGCACTAAGAGGGCCTCTTAAAGCAGGCCCATTATGGGTTCGGCCAGGCCCACAATAGGGCGACCGGGTGGTGAGGGACGGGGCCTGACATATCCGAACGGACCACCCTCGGAAACATTCCTGGGGATTCCTTGACTTGTCCGGATTGGATCCCGGGTCCCCCAGAGCGGTAGGCCGCCACCTCGACCGCTCGGCCATCCGGCTTCCAGTGGCTATGGTGAATGACGGCCGGGTGGCCGAGCAGTCAAGGTGGCGACCTACCGCCCTGGGGGACCCGGAATCGACTAATTTCAAATTTACACAATGTGTATAAAAATGATTATTACTCTGTATATTGATTTGTTAAATTGTACTAACTTCAATTTTTATGCAATACTTTAACTCCCTTGTAACGAAGTAAGGTTCATACAATAAGCAATTGAATTGAACTGAACGTATAGAACACGACAAAGTATTGAAATAGCGTCAATTTTGATCCTCCGGGTATTTTACAAATTTCGACGTTTTAAGACCTTTTGAACATAAAAAAGTCAAAAACCTAGAGAAAAATTCTGTGGACCTGTATGTGTGCGTGGGCACGTGTGTGTTGGGGTCAATTTCGTTTAATATCTCAGGATGGAGTAACAATTAAAAAACAAAATTTGGCGTGGTAACTTGTTTATAAGAGACATTGGTGCTATTACATTTTGGTGGTTAAAGATCCAGGGGATGGGAGATTGAAAAAGTCACGTATTATATCTCGAGTGGGATCGAATTTACTCGTTATTAGCATTTACCATTTTTTTTTTTTTTTGTTTTGTTTTTATAAAACTCGTCATTACTTTCAAATTTAAGCTTTTTGCCATTGTACAATAATTAATAATATAAAAGTTATTTTTTAAACAAAATCTCTTAATAGATGGCACAACAATTTTAATTTTGTGCTACTAGCCTAATACGAGAACTCCTCGTTAGATCGAAATTCAAGGGACGAAGTAATCGCGACTTCGAATTAACCGAGATTTACATTTATTTGTATAATACGCCAAATGCCATGTAACTGATGTAATTAATTAAGCAAACGGAATACGGTTACGTATACAGAACGTTATTTTCGTTAATTAATAATAAATAATAATATAAATAAGAAGGTAAACAGCGCGTGTCCAATGAGAACCTCGCAGGTTTTAAGATAGGTTTTCGATCTAAACGAACGAGTTAACTTACAAATATCGCATTTCAGACAGAATTTTCACTTCGAATTTCGAAGTAGTCGTATTTCGGACTAACCGAATTCCTTAACGCGTAAATCCTTATAACCCCTTCCAGAACAAAGTACAGCTACGAACTAACGGGCTTTCGAATCAATGAGGATTTCCTGTATATCATAGTGTTTTCTCCGGGAAAGTTACCTAACACCTCGCTGGAATTTTTAACTGGCCGTTTAATAATAGAATGGTTAATAAGTAAAAATTTCGTTGTTCTATACTTTCGTTTTAGATCATGCTATTTAATATTTTTTGATACTTCAAACATTAGTATAAATAATAATATCAGTTACTGAACTTGCAAAGTTAAAAATTTTCAGAATCATAGATAACACTTTCCGTTTAAAGTTTAAATGTGATAATGATAATGATAATGATAATTTTAATAAGTTTTCGTTTATAATTTTACAAGTAGTTATGCTCTGACAAGCAAGAAATTTCTACCCTTCCATCAAATACTATATTTTAACATTTATTTAAATATGTATAATTCATAAAAGTGCAAAAATTTCAAAAATCATAAATTTCTTGCAATAAGTTTTGTGAGAAAAAACAAAGGTTGTTGTTTTACATTTGAATCGTTATTATTTTTCTTTATTCGACTTCGGTGTCATATACAGACAGGAAAGAAGAATTTGGAGGTGGCTGCACCCTAAAAAATAAATTTTAGTTTTTCTTAACTATTTGACATTTATATTTTCTATAATATAATAATATTAAGATACAAGTAAGTGGTAGCCCATTCGGGCCACCATTATTTCAATTAGTCAAAATAATAATCCAAACTTGTGGATAATGATGGGCTCCTCTATCTTATACTGTATTATACTTACCAATTTTCTTTGCTGTAAACCGTATTGTAATTTTCTACAATGTGAAATGTATAAGCGGGACGAGGTTCAGTAGATAAATTCTTTTCGCTTTTATGGAAAACCTTGCCGTGTATCAAAACACACGATCCTAAATTAAATTTCAATATGTTATTTATAATATCGATTAGCTTTAATACTGAATTGTCCATAAATCTAACTGAGAGAGAAATATACCTTTGGGAGCTATTGCAGGAACCCAATCTTCATCGCTATAATCTGGAGGCTTTAACACGGTTTTCATTGAATTTGTCCCATCAAAATTTCTAACGTATCTTTTGTATACTTCTCCTGTTATTTTTATAAAAAGTTACTTTATTTGTTTATTTCTATAAATAAGCTTTAGATTTATAGATGTTAAATTACCTTTGTGTGAGCCGGGTACAAAATGAAGGCAGCCATTTTGTAACGTGGCATCTTCGATGGGAAACCATAAACCAACTAAATTAGAATCAGGTACGGTATGTAGAAAGGTAGCATCTTGATGAGGGATAACTATAAATAGGCAGAATTATAAGAATTCGTTTAACTAATTAGATTTAAATTACTATTATAAATATAAATTATTTTTATTTACCTTCAGCGCCGATTCGAGGATGCTAATAAAAAAATTTAACAATTTTAGAAAATATTTCACAATTTTTTGTTAAATAAAACAATAAAAATTTACCTTAAATATATACATGCTCTGAGTAACAACAGGATCAACAAATCCCAATTTTTTTAGAAGGTCCTATAAAATGATATAAACATTGTTTTTTTTTTAATTTACTTAAGTTAGTCTTCAATACAACCAATCGAAATAATTGCAATCCAAAGTCGCATTTTTATTGAGTTTTGCTAATAAAATTTAAACAAACAAATTGTTCATATTAATTGAACTGAATTTTGAAAATAAAGCATATAATCTGTATTTTCCAAACTGAAAAATCCGGAGGCGTAATGGCCTTCCACTCTGGAAGACCCGGATCAAATCTGAGCGAGCAACTCTCCAGGAATTTTTCACTGGTGGTCTGTCCTGAATATGTCCGGTCCCATCCTTATCAAAGCCTTCTAGAGGGGACCAAAAGGAGCAAATTATTCTGAGCCCCGAGGGATGAGGGACCTCTACATAATATTTTCGTTTACTTCGTTATTGCTGTAGAGTCCCCAAGATGTATTTTGACCCGGACTCCTGTTAGCCTCTGGACGGCCCGGGCCATTACTACTCGGCCGAACTCCATTGTGGACCTAGCCGAATCCACAATGGTCCCGAAAAAACTCTTTAGTGCCCACAAGACAGAAAGTAAAAAATGAAAATACTAAAAGATTGTTTTACGAATCAACAGTCTAAAAGGGAAAACCAACAAAATAAATAATTACGTGAAAAAATGTATGTTTAACAGAGGCGGCCCTGGGATATGCGAGGCTTTAAACAAAATTTACTTTTGAGGGCCATAAAAAGAACAATTGAGTTAGAGGGTGAATTTATTTAGGTATTAAATAATATGAACATTTACCATGTAGAAACAAAGTAACACACAATGAAACAACAAAAATATGTATACTGTAATAGTTTTATAATAAATTGGAAAATTCAGTAGGTGTACAAAAATTCACCTGTAAAACTGCTCTTCCGCTTTCGGTAGGGCTGGATTAATGACTTAGAAGAAAAAGTTCAGTTCTGTAGCAATATCTCTTTCAACGGACACGATCGAAAGTGAAGAAAGTCTCTCTCAACACATTGTTGGTCGGAGGTAATTATTGATCAAGCAAAATTTGAAAATGATCGTTCCGCAGATGTAGGCACAATTATATTTTCAGTAATTATAAATTTGATGATTTATATACTAAAATATATTACCAAACTTGCCAGGCCTCTGAAAGCACGAGGCCCTAGATGTCGCCTTTTTAGCCTTTAAGTATGGCCGCTTGCGACGTTTAAAGATGAAGCCAAAAACTATAGATATAGTTTTAAAATTGAAAAAGTCTGTTATAGAATATACCGAAAAATTAAAATAAATCATAGAATCTCTGGTATCCTTTAAAAGATTTAAATATTACAATGATCGATTGGAGTATTGGAGTACAAAATCAAACTTGTATCTGAAACACAATATTTTATAAATAATATGTTAATACTGCTAGAACTTCACTGTACATTTGAGACAGTGTCTTAACTATAGTTTTGTTCCGGGGTGATGTGGGAGGGTGATCTAAAGAGTGCAATCAGAATGAAGAGAAGTCCCTTAAATACCCCGCAGACAAATTTTCTAGAATGTTCCCGATACATCTAGAAGGAAACTTGGAGGACGAACTCCAGATCCGAATTAAAATCTTTCTTCTGGAACAATCCACAGTCACATAGTTTAAGCGATTGGTAACCGAGCATTACGATAAAAAATATGGAATTATTTATTAATAAATCTTAGATTTGTTGTTTACAACGAAGTTTTTTCTTAGTTTCCTCTGGGATCAAACACCCATATCACCCCAATAAGCGGGCCGCAGATTTGAGATAATTTAATTCTCATTCTCGTACGAATAAATGAAAAAATCAGTAGAACATGGGAATTATGTACTTTAGAGAAAAAAATCTTTTAATAGAATTCTTACCTTTACTTTTTGACTAAATGTAAATTTTTTGAAAACATCATTGCACAAATGCAATGCTGAAAATATAATTATCAAATTACTGTGTATCACGCTGGCATAAATTATGAAAAATATTTTTGTTAAAATTTTTCGTTTATGCATTAAGAATTTAATTTAAATTAATGAAAATATCTTGTAATAACATTTATTTACCGTGAGCCATTTTTTCTACAGCATCTTCCTTTGGAATAATTAATTCGCCTAAAATAATATAATTTTTGTTAAAATATTTAAAATATTTCAAGTATTGAAGATATAACAACGCACCTTTATCGTCAATAGAATCTGCTTCGAAGAAGAAATGAATTTTACTCGAAGACTCCATGTAATAGTCATCCCCTCTCTGAAATATGTTTCGCGTAACTCGTAATTCTGAAACTATTACGCAATTTAATATTGGACAAACGAAAATTACGAATCAAACCTCATAACTCCCAACGTGAATCACGGATGTATCTGAAGGATTCATCTTCTGAATTACTTTCATACATTCAGACTTTAATAAGTCAACTTCTTCCAAAGTTAAGAAATTTGGTATTACTAGAAATCCTTCGTCGTAATACTATAAAAATTAATACACAGCTATTAAATATTTCTAATAAAGTATTATTCCTTACATTATAAGTACTTTATTACAGTAGTTTCAACCCGAGTTTCGCGTTAACTAGTGTCACGAAATTTAGTGTCGAGCGGCGCCCCGACACTTTTACGTGCATTACTAAAAGCACGATAAAATCTACATTTTTATAAAAATAAGGGTGCCACGAGAGAAAATTACCAAGTTAGGGGTGTCACTATTAGAAGAAGGTTGAAAAGAGCATTATTTTGAATACGTGAACGCTAAGTTTTGGCTCTGGGGAGAACTTATCACATATTATTGATGTAGTAGGAGAAATCACACAGAGAATACTCCCGAGAGCCAAAACTTAGCAAAAGCGTATTCGGTTTTAGTAATGTAAGGACAAAAAGCGCATCGCCAACTGTATTATTCAATTATTGTCTACATTTATCGATTACTAAATTTAAATTCTTGATTACAAACCTTTTTAACGTCTTCGGGATTAACCATTTTTGTGAATATTCGGTAGAAAATTCTTTCGAGTTTGACTTTTTTAGCAAAATGTGTGTATCTTACAATACAGAATGCTTAAATGCCGTTTTTATAGACCAGCTCGTAAGACTTATCTATTTGGACTCGGCAGATAAAAATACTCAAAGATCATTAGCTATAAGTGTCATATGTCATTTTATAAATATTAATAATGTTTTATAAACTATTTTTTGTTTAATTTAGTAAAATTAAAATGAAATTAGTGCTTACCATAATTAATAATTTTAAGAATTTATAAAAGAAAAAGAAAAATTAATATAATAGAAGATATTACATTTGATTAATTAAAAATTAAAGCAGTATTTCCCAACTTTTTCACTATCTGATAATTTAAACTATTTACTGATTAAGATAATATACAATATGAAATTATCGTTTCAATGCGGTTCAATCCAGTTAGCTAAAATTCGGGACTATCAGTTCTGATAAAGTGACGAAAATAATTAATAATTAAAGGTCATGTGTCAAGGTGACTCTACCGATGGAAAAATGAAAAGATTTATATCCGATACGTATTCACTTTTTAAATTTATGTACGGTGAAATCTGTTTAAACCGGACTCGTAGATACAGAATATTTTTCCGTTTGAAACAGGTTTTACTGTATAATCATTTTAATTCCATATAAAGATAATTTATTCAACATTTCGTGTTTATAGCTATTAAATTTATTAATGTTTGTTAATAAAATACTACTAAAATTTTACTTTCCCCGCTGTTTTAAAATATAATATAGGGAAACTATGGTAATCTGGCGCATTTTGACATTCGAGAAGCCCAAAAATGTAAAAACAAAAAAATTTTCAGTATGTGTGTGTATTGGCATCAATTTTGCATTAAATCTCAAGACTGTTAAACAAAAATGCGAAACTTGGTTGGTTTATTTCTATATATGGAGCATTGACGCTATTAAATTTTGATGGTTAAAGGTCGAGGGGTAGAGAGATAACGGGAAGTGGAATCAGACTTAATAAATAAATATTTACTCGTTATTCGCATTCAAAAGTTTTTAAAAAATTTGCTTCTATCTTCAAAAATAAATATTTTACATTTTTATAATAATTAGTAATACAAAAATTACTTTTTAATAAAATATCGTAACAGATGATGAACACATACTTTTAACTTAGAGCCTCATTGATAGTGTTTTTTCTTAAATATTCTTACTTTAAAAATAGAGAAATTCGTCTTAATTAAAAAAACATTCCTTTCAAGCTATTATTTAAATTTAACATCAGTAGTATAACAGAAAATAATTGGGCTTCCCTCCCGCTCGCCTTAACCTCCTGTCCGAGAGTCCTTACCACATTTTTAAACATTATTTAGATAATGAGATTATCGCTCCTAATTTTTTTTTCTAACACCAACTTTTACTTCGAGTAAGTTATCATTTTTTAATTTATTTTCCTTATAAAATAAGCATTATTTAATCACGATTATGACTGTTTTGCCGACCATGCGGGCAATAAACAACTAGCAATTGACACCGTACACGTACTGTACAGTACATTAGTCTCTGTCACATACATAGATAAAGGACAACACGAACATTTCAGGTGCTCTGTCCTGTCGGATTATTGTCGGAGTATCGGACTAGCGAGTGACGACTATATAGACTCTACTGTAATTCCGGAATATTTATAATTATATTTTTTATTATATCTATACAAATTAAATTTCCCTTAGAATGTCCACCCGACTATGTTTTAGAACGGCTAAGGTTTTTGTATTTTTTTTATACATTTTTTACTCTACAAATAAATTTCGGTTTGCTAATTTATAATTGGTATTTATAAAAACAAAGTTTTCGTAATAAATATTTATGTAATTTAAAGTAATCTATTTATAACAAGTCAAGGACTTTTGTTTTTATTTTGTAAAGTACACATAAATAAAATTTTTAAATAAATAAATAAAAGATTTTCAAAATCAATATTTATTTTTATGGAAATATTTTTAGTTGTTTGTAAGGTTACAGCAAATGTGAGAGCAACTAATTGTGATTCAAAAATGTATCTCAAAACTTTGAAAACAGTAATTATTACGACTGTTTAATAATTTATTAGTACTGATTTTTCATTTTCCAGTTTTCATATACTGTTACTGTATTTACAGTATTTTTTTAAAAAGATAAATATATCAGATCAATTAAATAAAGACGGAAAAGAAGCCACGTGTTTGATTAATAACACGATCTTGTGTTTAATACTCTCAAAAGATAAATATAAATTATAATTTTATCGAAACTGATTTTGGAAGATTATAATCTGTTTTTTTATCGATCTACCAGTAGCCGAACGGATAAAACCACTAAACACTGATAGTTGGTTACATTATTCTGTGCCTATCTTTAACAACTTGTAAAAGCCTGGTTTGTAGTTTTGATTGGATTGAACTCTCAAATAACCAGTTTCCTCAAACTGAATAATCCTTTCATTATGAGCTTGAAGTCAATAGTCTCTGGTGTAAATTCTGATGATGGAAAAAATTCTCAAAGAGCAGCTGCAGCAGTGTTATGAAACAGCTCAAGAAATGCTCATTCCAGAAAAGTAATGGCTATTGTAGCTGATAAGAATAAACAATTTTAGCCATTTTTATACTCAGAACTTGGCTGTAACTATACAGGTGCTTATTCAAAAGAAACAGTTTTCATTGCTTACAGCACTAATTACCATAATGGTAAATTTTGACAATTTTTTTAATGGAAATGTTTTGAAATATCACTATATCAGTTTTAGTTGCATACGGACTGCAAATTTCTCTGTAGATAGTATTGACATTAATTACAATCACCATGCATGTGTGCAAGTATACATAAATATATTATTAGTGTATTTATTAATGTTATATTGATTTTTTATACATTTTATACACATTTATCCAATGTCTATTTAAATATATAATTTACAATTATAATAATTATCCACAATATTTGGAAATTTTACATATAAAATTAATAATAAATATTTATCTGAAGAAATTAAATACATGAAAGCAAATATAAAATAAAAATATTTACCATATTTCATGGCATATATGACACCCTCCATTCAACATAGAATATTTAGTGTATTTAATTTAAGCCATCTCATGCCTTTGTCATTCTGAGTTAGTGCACATCTTATGTTATTTGTCCTTCTTCCGTTTTAATAACAAACCTACCTCTAAAAGCGGAGAGTTCCCCCTCTCGGGTGATTTATGTGAGCTGGTAATCAGGAAGTTGGAACAACAAATCATCCCCTTGTACCTTTCCAACATCCTCCTGTACAGGAGATATGTTGATGATATCTTTATCATATGGAAA